CAGCTGACAGCCTTATGGGAACTCCTTTGTAGGTAACTGACTGCTTATCTCTTACTGTCTTTAATATTATTTTTTTGGTATTTATTTATTTATTTATTTATTTATTTATGTTTTGATTGATTTCAGAGAGGAAGGGAGAGGAAGGGAGAGATAGAAACATGAATGATGAGAGGGAATCATTGATTGGCTGCCTCCTGAATGCCCCCTACTGGAGACCAAGCCCACATCTCGGACATGTGCCCTTGACTGGAATTGAACCCAGGACCCTTCAGTCCACAGGCTGATGCTCTATCCATTGAGCCAAACCAGCTAGGGCGTTTTTTGTATTTAATCTTGGCCATTTTAATTAAGATATGTCTTTGGGTAGGTCTTATTGTGTTCATCATGTTTTGGACTCTCTGTGCTACCTGCTTTTGTGTGACATTTCCCTTCATCTGGTTAGGGAAATTTTCTGTCATTATTTCTTTAAGAATAGAACCTGAGACCATTCAGTCTGCAGGCCAATGCTCTATCTACTGAGCCAAACCGGTTACAGCTTAAAGCAGGTTTTCTATCTTTTGCTCTCTTTCTTCTCCTTCTGGCATCCCTATAATGTGGATCTTGTTATATTTTATTTTGTCCCAAGTTCCCTTAATCTATTCTCCTGCTTTTTAATTATTTTGTTTTATTTCTGTTCTGACTGAGTAATTTTTTTTCTATTTTGTCTTCTAATTCACTGATTCAATCCTCTGCCTTGTTCAGCCTGCTGGGTATTCCTTCCAATGTATTCTGTATTTCAGATATACATTCTTCATTTCCTACTGATTATTTTTTATGGTTTCTATATCCTTCTTCATGCTGTTTTTGTTCTCACTAGGTTCCTCAAGAATCCTTATAACAATTACTTTAACTCTTTATCTGATAAATTGCCTCTGTTTCATTTAGCTCTTTTTTTCTGGAGTTTCCTTTTGTTATTTCATTTTGGGCCTGCTTCTTTGCCTCCCTACTTTGGCTGTCTCTTTGTATTTGTATCTATGTTTTATATAGCACTGCTATGACTCCCATTCTTGGTGGGGTGGCCTTCCTTTATAAGTGTCCAGTGGTTCCCAATGGTGCAGTCTCTTTGATCTCTTGAGCTGGGTGCTCTAGAAATATGTCTTGTGTGGGTTGTTTGGAACCTCCTGTTGTAATTGGGACTTGATTGCTGATGGTCCTTTGGTGTTTGGGATTGACCCTCAGGCTGGTTGACTATAAGGCTCAAACTTGACCATCGGGTGAAAACTGCTGTGCAGGTGCAGCCTTGAGGTGTCTTGATGAACTCAGCGGCACAATGATTAACCTTTCAGACTGGGTGTTTATAGAGGTAAACCTTTATCATCATGTATGTGATACAATGTAATGGCTTCTCCACAAGGTAGGGCTGTTCCCAGCTGGGTCTGGAACCTGCCGGGATCCACCTTTGAGTGTGTCATTGTGTGTCTCATTGGGTCAAGCTCTGGTGTGGTTTGAGGCCCACCACTAATTGTTTTGGTTCTGGGTCCTTTCAGGGGGTTTCAGATGCAGGTAGCTACAGACATTATTTGTAGCTGGCCTTTGGGTACCTGTGTGTAGTTACCACTCTGTTCACTGGTTGTGTCTGCATCTGATAGATCTGTGTATTTGTGGGAGAGACCAATATGTATAAATGGGTCAGCTTCTTTTAGCTTAAAGCTGGGGGCAAATCTGTGGTCAGATCCAGGCTCTCTGAGGTCTGCCTCCACCTGTCAGTTACTTTGCCTCTCCTCTGATGTTGGCTGGTCTTCCTCCAGAGCCTTACAAATATAGTATGTAGGGTGGATCCATGCTAGCCTAGCTCAGGTTTGTGGGCACCCTGCTTGGAGATTATGCAGTCGGGCAGGCAATGAGGGTAAATTGGTGTCTTCTTCAAAACACCAATCCTCAGTCTCCACCAGAAACTCCACTCTAGTTCACCTTAAGGTTGCTTGCTGCAGGTTCAGGTTGAGTACAGCATATAATCATCTCTGCAGGAGCAGTTTCCACCACAATGAAATCACAGAGCCCAGCACTCACCCATCTCCCTGATAGAAGCCTCCCCAAGGGTTACAGTCCAAAAATCTGCATGGAGCTAACAACTTTCTGGCAACAGTCCAAGTAAGAGTGGTTAGAAAATCACCCCAAATGCAGGACTCTGACCTCTCTATGCTGCTTGTCTCAGCAAAGTGGAAGCCAAAATTCCCAGCTCTGCTTGTTCTCCAAACTCTGCAGTGTGGACCAAAAAGCTCTGACCTATACTGCTCATGTGTGCTACTAACCCAGCAAGATGTATTAGTCTAAGAGGATCCATAGATGGGTCAAGGGGTTCTGACCCTGTGCTTAAGGTGAAGAATCTTCTCCCTTTTCCCCAAGCCAAACAGTTTAGTCACTGACTGGGGTTGCATACAATACCTTTCAAGAAAGAAGATGGTCTCTCAAAGTCAATGCTGGGTGAAGCCCACAGATCACACTGCTTTTTAGCCATCAGAGCCTGGGAAAACTTCTCAGGTTGGGGCTACTAACAGTAGAGTGCTCCTTCACTGGGAAGGTTTGATCCCAGTCTTGCAGGCAGATAGAATTCCCCTAGTTCCCTCTGCCCAATGCTATGAGGGCCTTGCTTCTCATCTATTGCTCTGGGTTTGGGATTACAGCTTGGGGTTGAGACACCACACTCTCAGGGAGAGGGAACTTTGTAGCTGACATCCCTCTGGCCTCTCAGCCACCACACGTGCTTGATCGGGGGCTACCCCTTTCCATGTCTCTTACAAGTCTCTATATGGTTTTCTCAATCTCCTTAGTTATAATATTTCCAATCAGCTATACTTCACTTGCTTTCTCAAGTTTATTGTCCAGGATTTTAGCTTTAAATCCTGTTCCTGGCTGGAAGCAAGGCACACAGCCTCTGGCTACTCTATAGCCATCTTGCCTCCTCCCGACCATGTCAGCTTTGAACAAAACTTCGCTAACTCAGCTATCTTCAAGATGACCAGCAGTATATTGAGACACATCAGACTGCAACTATATCTTCAAGAGTGAGGCATGCCAATCAACCATATAAGCCACCCCTTTTTAATTGAATTTATTGGGGGTAATATTGGTTTGTAAAACCATAAAGGTTTCAAGAGTACAACACAATCAAACATCAACTGCACACTGTATCATATATTCATTGCCCAATCAAAGTCTATTTCCATCCCATTTTCCACCACTTTGCCCAACTCCACCTAGCTCCACCCCTTTTCCTCTATCACCACCCTATTGCCTATGTTTATGTGTTATGTATATATGTTTTTGGGTTAATTTCTTCACCTTCTTTCATCCAGTCCCCCAACCCCACTCCCCACTGACAACTGTCATCTGTTCAATATATTCATACCTCTGTTTTTATTTTGTTCATCAGTTTGTTTTGTTCACTAGATTCTACTTATAGTGGGATCATATGGTTTTATTTTTATTTTTGTGGGGGAGAGTTACCCAGAGGGTTGGTAAAACATTTCTTCTAGGTGTTTCTTAGAGGGTGTTTCTGGAAGAAATTCACATTTGAATTGGTAGACTGAGTAAAGAAGATGTGGCCCTTACCAATGTTGGTGGGTGTGATCCAATCTCTGAGGACTAAATAGAACAAAATGGTGGAGGAAGGGTGAATTTACTCTCCTTGTGAGCTCGAATGTCCATCCTTGACTACCCCTGGACTTTGGCACTCATGGCTTTTCTTCTCAGACTGGGACCTATATCATCCACTCCCCTGGTTCAGACTCAGACTGCATTTATGCACTGGCTTTCACTGGACAACTGTGACTAATACAATGGCTTCATTACTACAGATGTCAGATAGTGAGTCTCCATTGTTATATTATACTGGAGGCCCGATGAACAAAAATTTATGCACTCGGGGGTGGGGGGGGGGGTTCATCAGCCCAGCCTGTACCCTCTCACAGTCTGGGACTCTTTGGGGGAATACCACCTGCTGGCTTAGGCCTGCTCCCCTGGAGATGGCGCCTAAGATGGCAGTCAGACATCCCTCTAGCAGCCCAGGAGCCCTCAGGGGATGCTCACTTGCCAGCGCGGAGCAAGCCTAAGATGCAGTCGGACAACCATAGCACTGCTGAGGAGGCAGGAGAGGCTCCCACCACCACTGCTGTACTGGAAGTCATCAGCCTGGCTTGTGACTGAGCAAAGCTCCCCCTGTGGGAGCGCACTGACCACCAGGGGGCAACTCCTGCATTGAGCATCTGCCCCCTGGTGGTCAGTGTGTGTCATAGTGACCAGTCATTACCAGTCGTTCTGCTGTTAGGGTCAATTTGCATATTACCCTTTTATTATATAGGAGTGCCTGACAGTCTGGGTGAGGGGCTGATGGCTGTTTGCAGGCTGGCCACAGTCCCCAGTGGGAACCCTCATCCCATGAGTGTGTGGCTATCCTGGGTGAGGGGCTGATGGCTGTTTGCAGGCTGCCCACAGCCCCCAGCCACCCAAGCTCCCAGTGGAGGCTGGCTGGAAGCAGGTATCTGGGATTTATTTATCTCTTATAATTGAAACTTTGTTGCCATGAGCGGAGGCTACAGCTGGCTCAGGGGAGGCAGGAAGCTTGGCTTCCTCCATTGCCCGGGCAACCAAACCTCTTGCTTGCTCCAGCTCCGTGGCTGCGGGCCGCCATCTTGGTTGGCGAAGAGGGCCACCTGGGAGGCACCTAGGCATTTTCTTATAATTATTGTCAGCTGAACTCAGAGCATAGGCAGAGCCACGCCCTGGGAACATGCTTCCCCAATAAGGCTGGACATGTTAATCAGGCAGGGGCAGAACTAGATATGTAAATCTAGGCCTTTAAAATAAACCTGCTGTGTGGCTCAGCCTGCTTTTGCTGCCTCTCCATCAGAGAGGATGGTGCCCACCTGGCCCCAGATTAAAATCTATTTCTGTATCTTGGTCTTTCTTTAATTTCTTAATCCTCAGCTCCTCCACTCAGCAAATGGACTGTTTCCTTTTCCATGCAGGACATGGAAAAGAGAGAAACAGCCCCCCACATTTGGTGCCCCGAACAGTGACTGAGTACGGAGGCAAAAGAAGAAAGCGAGGGGGTCACTCTCAGAAGCGTGTGCACACAGTTGTAAAGGAATAAGGTAATGGGAGTGTATTGTTGTGAAGTGACATGAAATAGCCAGGTGTAAAACATGGGTAATCCTCAAAAAATGCTTTACACTATGTTCTGTTAATTGTAGTCAAATTCTTGATTTCTTAAGCTTTGTTGATGAAACCTGGGAAAAGGTTAAAAGCAGTTGTGTGACCAATACTCAGCAAAAAGTCCAGAGAAAATTCCTATTTTAATTGGTGATGGCCTTGATTCATCACAGGAGAGTTTAAAAATGTCTAAGTGGGGTGCAGCCACGGCCTTACAGCCTGGAGTGGAAGGGTGCGAGTGTCTAAGAATACCATCTGCACCTCCTCTGCCTCCACGTGTAAACTACTTGTAACCAAGTAGAAAAGGATTGAAGGAATTTCTCAGCAACTGCCAATGATTCTTTATCTTAAAAAATCTTTTCTTTCCTTGAAAAAATAAAAATTATAAAAAAAAATTGAAAAATAAACAAAATAGAAAGAGTAAATGCCAGACCATTACTGAATCTTCCCCCTAAGAAACAAGGAGGTGGGGGAAACTCACAGGCCATCCAATATGGACGTCAGTCCCCAAGAAAGCCACTTCTTCGCCTCATCTTCACCATCTTTGTCCTTTTTTTTCCAGCTAATGACTTAAAGCTTTTACAAATTCATAAATGCATCCAGGATTTCTGTGCACATGTAAAGGGAAAAGGCCAGTTTAAAAACGAGTGCGCATAGTTTTGAGCTGAACTTGACCTTTTGCTGTGTACAGAATAAAAACCCGAGACTGTTTTGGTCTTAAAAATGGCGGAGATGAACCTGAGAAAAAAATACAGGCTGGTTTCCCAAGGCGATTTAAAGTAGCTCTTTTGAAATTTCCCGCCCTGAGGCAAGTGCCACCAGGAAGTTGATAGTCAAGTTTACATGTGAATAGCTATGGGTTTGCTTCTTGACTTCCCCAGCAGGAAAATTGTGACCATTTTGAAATTTAGCAGCTATGCCAGGCTTACTGGCTGGAAACTTAAAACTTTTAAGTTCAAATCATCTAAAAGTATTGAGATTTATAATACTGAAATGTTGATCTGTGTATATCTAGTAT